AGGTTTCATGTTCTAGGTCCGAAACCTTCTTATCCTGAAACTGATTACTCCTAGCGCCGGGTAGAGATTAGTGGAGTGTTCGAAAAGCTATGAACACTATTATTAGAAAAAAGAAGAAAGAAAGAAAGGAAGAAAAGAAATGGATAAAATAAAAGAGCAAGCATATGTATAGATACACACACCTAATACGAGTTAGATAACTCCATATATATTCCTCTCTTCTCTATATAGATAAGATAAATTAAGATGTCCATGAGAGTATCCTGTGGGATAGAGAATCTATATTTTCATTCATTGTGATAGAACCGCAGAAGCTAAAACATGCCATGGCCTTGGAGGAATACTTGAAGCTGGCTGTCAAGAGACAGACGTTGTTAGTTCCCCTTGGGTAACTCTAATCTTACTTAAGAAAGTAAACAATTGTTAGGTGTTGCTCGAACACAATGTCTTATCGATGCAAATTAGTCATCAATTGTCAAGTATCATGAAGTTTCTTAGTTTTATTTTAATATGATAGTACTATGTGCAATTTTATTGATTTAGGTGTGTGAAAACGTTTTCTTCTAATGCTCCGTTTATTTTGCGAAAAATAAATGAATTGAAGAACATTTTCTTGAAAATGATCTATTGTATCGCTTACGAAAACGGGTAAATGAAAAATATTTTCATTGTTCACGAAAGCATTTACAAATAAATTAGTATTGATAATGAAAACAATTTTCAATGAATAATTATTTCAAACGATATAAGCGATCATCTTTAGAAAAAAAATATTTTTTAAATCATTCATTTTTTGTGAAACAAATAAAATCTGAAAAAACTCTAAAAACCTCTCTAAAAAGGCAATCTTGAAAATCACCGTTAGATTTGGTTAGGTTCCAAACAAAACAATGTTGAATGTTGAACCATCTCTTACCTACTGAAAGTACTAAGTAGATATCTATGCATTCGTTTACAGGCTTTAAAGGTCCAGCTACCTAAAAGTCTATGAAATACCTTGCAAGTCTCATAAACCGTTTAAGCCGAGTCTTTTGGTTTGTGCAAGTGGCATATACACAGAGTAATTTACAAAGCTTGTCAGATTTTAAGGGATGACCTCCACTATCTCAGCTGATTACATCAACGATAAGGATGTGGATCGACTCATGTTTTCAATATATAAAATCTGTGGAGAAAGTGTTAAGTTTTAAAATTCATAAGAAAAAAAAATCAAAACTGATTTTTGTCTACATAACTACGATAAAGAATTTCCCTTCTCTTTCTCCGCTGTATTTTATTCTCTATACAACCAAATTTTATGTCTTAAAAAACCTTTAAAGCTAATAATCAATTAAAATTAGGGGTGTGTTTGATAACTATGCTAAGAATTAAACTTTTTCAACACTTAAACGTTATTAAGTGCATGTGATGACATCTAACAACAATTACTCAATTCATTGTTTCAAGGCGAAAATCGCTAAGCGCAGTATGGAAGTGCCTACTGAATTGGTTAATCGATAAAATATTCAATTGAAAATAGGATCTTGCTCATTATATTGTTGAAACTCCTGAGAATGTCACCATTTCATGTTTGGAAGAAACCAATGGAAGTTTATTATTCAATTTTCATCTATCATCACAAACTTTTTATTTTTTGATTCAGTATCAGGGATAAGCAAAAGGAACTGCCCAGACAGAATCAAACTAGCTGGTTCTTGGCATTTTACGGGGGCATGAGTCTGGTTCCCGATTCTATGCAATTGGAGCCGGTGAATTACGGTCCAGTTCTCAATTTCAGGTGTGAAATCGCCAACCTGACTAGATTGATTTTTTTTTAATTTTTATTTTTTACAATGTGAAAAATCCCTAATCTCTTCACAACTTTTTCCTGCCTCCTTAGTCTTTCCCAAATCTGAAACAAAACCCTAATCCCTCTCACTCATGCCTCGTCCTCCTCCTTCGCTGATCTTCTCGCCTCGCTTGACAAATCCGTTGCGTTGCCCCGCTCTGATGAGAAGGACTAGTTCGTTTCCATTGCTAGCCGAACGTGTTGAGGCTACCTTCGTTCCTTCTTCTTGATTGAACCCCGAGAGAGAGAGAGAGAGAGAGAGAGAGAGAGAGAGAGAGAGAGAGAGAGAGAGAGAGAGAGAGAGAGAGAGAGAGAGAGAGAGATTTTTTGATTTCAGGATCAGATGGTCCAATTCTCGATTTCGGAATCGGGGAACCTATTACTCCTATTTACTACTTAAGGCCTTCGGTACGTGTGACATCCTGAAATTGTCCATTTGGGATTTATGAAATGTTTGGTTTTATGAACGTACTCGTAGTTAGTTTTCGCCTGGAACTGATCATTCCTGGGATACTAACCATTAGGGAAATGCTAATTAGGAATTAAATTCGTGTGACTAAGAGAAAATTCGATCGTGAATTGATTTTCGACCATAAAATCGCCGAGGTGACATTTTGAGCCACTGTTGGCCGATCTAAGGATAGCTAGGGGTCAGTTCGCCACTGTCATAGTAGTGGATTGCGGGTGATTCCGCGGGACCACGAAATGAATTGACGGATGATCCTGAACCTATACCAAACGATCGTGCCCCTCGGATCTAGCGGTCGATCCTCGCAATTTAAATGACAACCAAAATCGTCATGAACCGAATGGACTTGTACGTGACTCGATTTATTATTAGTCACGGGTCGAATATGCGAATTTTCTTAAAAAGCCGGCCGTTAGTTTGAGAAACGCTTGAGTTACGTTTAATAAAATTTAATTATTTATTTGAGCCCAAACTGGACATCGAAAAATTAGGAAGTCACAACGGGACATTAGGACGACGTTGTGGTTGGAATGTACAGTTTTGGATTTGCCCGAATCCTTCAGAAAAATTCAATTTTGACGAGAAATGAGAAAAGTGACCGTTTTACCCCTAGGAATTTGTTAAGGGCAAGTTTTATGAGGGAAGGGCATTTTGGTTATTTTGCCATAACTTTTTGATTGGACATTTTTGCCCTTGGAATTTTATGAAATTTCGAAATTGCCCTTGGATATTTTTGGGAAAGATTCGATCTCGGCCGTCGGTTTCAAGATAAGATTGAATCTGAGCCGTCGATTTGGATTGTGAGAGAGGGGCATGATCGTCATTTTGGCCTCTAAATTATTGGTTTGACCATTAAAAGACCAAGACCATTCTCTCTCTCTCCTCATTCTCCCCCTCTCTCCTTCGGCTCCCTCCCCTCCCCTCACCGCCGACCGTCCCCTCCCCTCGCCAAGCAGCCGATCGCCGTCCACCGCCCGCCGTGCCGTGCCGCGCCGCGCCGCTCCACCGCCGAGCCACAAGCCGCTCACGCCACCGTCCCTTTTCTCTCTCTCTCCCTTCCGCTCGTGTGGCCGTGAGCCGCGGCAAGGAAGCCGCCACCGCCGCACGCCGTCCACGCCGCCAAGCCGCACCGTCGATCGCCACCGTCCCCGCCGATCGCCGCCGCTTTCCGCTCTAGCCGCGTTAGTCTAGAGTTTCGGTAAATCGCGCCCTACACCTTATTTAGGACGTAGGGTATCGACGGACAATTTGAGGTGTGATCGGGTTTAATTAGGCGCGAATTTGTATGATTTAAGAAGCAGAATTGAATAGCGGGCCTTAGAGATGAATTCGGAAAATTTTGGTGGAAATTTTGAGGTCAAAAGTGGGCTGTGGGTGGCTGAATTGAGTGCTGTGGTGTTGTGTTCGGTACGTAAATTGGATATTTGGATTCGGCGACTAAGTGTGAGAAAATGTCGTGAAGGGCTGGAATTGATTCGCCGAAGTTTGGAGGTGGAAAAATGAGAAATTGTATGTCGATTGTGTGTTTGTGATGTGGCTGAATTGTGGTGATGAAATTGGGTTCATTTGTGTGCAATTGATTGATTGGAAATATGCTTGACTATGTGCACGCTCGGGCCAAATTGAATTAATTGTCAATTGGCCATATTGGATGCTTATTGAGCATGAAATTGTCTGTGAATTGATGCGTGCACGGGCCACGTGTGATTGGCCAATTAATTGACAAGTGAGTGTTGAGCACGTGAATGAGTAAGAGATTGTGTGTGGGGTGGCATGTGTGATTATGGAAATCCCTGAAGCGGTACCATTACGCGGGGAATTGTGCCGTCCTGAGGCGTGTACTTTAACGGGGGACGATGCCCGGTATTATCGGAAGACTGGCAACCTGAGGCGTGTACTTCAACGCGGGTTGTGCCGTAGGTGGTAGGTGTTGAGCCTGAGGCGTGTACTATAACGCGGGCCCTGGAGTGTTGTGATGAGTTGGTCGCAGTGGACCTGAGGCGTATACTGTAACTCGGGTCACTGGCGAGAGTTGTGGAAAGATGTGATGAGATCGGAACAAATGCACGAAATATAATTATAACATGCATGTAAGTGAAATCGTGCCGTTATGGCTAACGTGCAGGTTGCACGCTGGAAAGGCCTAGGTAAGTAGAATTGTGTGCTTGCGATGCTATGGTTGAATGTGATTGTGTGTTGTGATTGTCTGGAGGTACGTGATAGCCTAGGTGGGGTTTAGGGGTGTACTTATTGAGATGTAATCTCATAGTTATTTCAACCAATATTTTCAGAACTCCGACCTGAGCCATGAATCCGCCGCCGCCGCCCCCTGAGCGTTTTGGAGTTCCGATGCACACCGAGCATAATGTACTAGAGTTTCTTGTAGATGACCAGATGACCTGGATTAAGCATACAACCGTAGTGTTTGTAGATGTAGGATTACCCCTATGGGAGGCCCATACATATACCGCCTGGTTCTTTAGGGACGGGATAGACGAGTTTGGACCCGTCCGTGGTTTTGACATCCCCTTTGATGGAGTTGGGGACTGGGACCCGTCTACTATACCTCCTCCTGATGGCGAGCTGACTAGTGTAGAGACTAGTCTGGCGCAGTCTGGATTGCAGCCAACGCCTGCAGCACCGGGGTCTTCAGGGGCTGAGCACGAACCGGAGCCGGAAGAGTCTCTGGTGGGAGATGATCCCATGGATGTGGATCTCGAGCCGATTCCAGAGGAAGAACCAGAAGAGGAGGAACCTGAGGCGGAACCTGAGAATGAACCTGCTGAGCCTGAAGAAGAACCGGTGTACATTTCCCCGTATGAGCAGTGGATTGACCCTGAGTTTGTACCGGAGTACGGGTCTGATGAGGAGTCCGATTTGGAGGAGAGGGACGAGGCCCCAGCGGAGTCGGGTGACATAAACCACCCAATCAAGATTGAGGCCGAGCCGGAGTCTTCGGAGGAGCAGACTGTCCAGGGAGACTCAGATTCAGATGACGAGGAGTCAGACTCAGAGTGGACGCCTAACGGAGGGCGTAGGGGCTAGCGTAGGGGCTGGAATTAGACTTTTTGGAGGTGTACCATTTTTGAGGATAGGACATCCAGGTCATCGGTCCTTTTTGATATCGGTGGTTGTAGTACAGTGTGCATATGTATATTGGTAGTTCGTAGTTTGGTGTGTTTGTATAAGTGGTGGTTTTGTAAATTGTGAATATTGTATAAGTTGATATAATGAGAAATGAATGCGTGCATTCTCCCTGTTCTCCCCAGTTTTAAATTGTCCGGGTATTTGTGGTTTCCGCTAATTGTTTAAAATCTTTGTTAATTATAAGTAAGGTCGGCGATACCCTGGGATGTCGCATTAATCGACCAAGAAGGGTGTCGTGCGCTCGATGGGGTTCGGGCGTGACATCCTAGTTGAATTGGTATCAGAGTAAGGTCAGCTCGATCTAAACTGGTCGAAGTTTGAGTGATAAGGAGCAGAGACCCTGGGGTAGTAATTTAGGGAGACTTTAGTGAGCTATAGGGCGGAATGAGCTACACGTGCCTCCAGATTGTTTGTTGTGACTGATTGAGTGAATTGATTGTGGTGATTATTGAAATGCAGGTGCGTCTGGACCTGAGGTAAGTGTTCAGACCTTATTGATTGTGGCTTTGTGCTTGTAGTAATGGATTACCTGCTGAGTGAATTCTTGCATTAATTCACTACCTAGAGCTAGACTGATCTAGTTGGCCTAGGTTACTAATTCCTAAGTGGAATTATAGCAGGTAGGAGAGTGGTAGGAAGCTGATATAATGAGCAGCGAAGGAAGAGGTGTAGGAAGAGTCCTAAGAAGGGGCGTAGGAAGAGGAACAAGAGGTGGAGGTCGTGCTCGAGCTAGAGCTGTAGAGGACCTCGGAATGGGTGTTAGAGCGATAGAAAACCTTGGAGTTGGTGCTGGAGTTGCAGTGGACCCAAGAGTTGATGTTAGACCTGTGGAGGATCCTAGAATGGAAGTGGTCACGAGGACCCTAGAACAGATTGGTAACATAATAGGACAACAGACTCAGGAATGAGCTGCTACGATTGCCCAAGCTGCCGAGGCCGCTGTGGCCGCCGCTGCTAATAATAATAATGAAAATCAAGGGCAAGGGCAAATGAATGTGAATAGACAAATGCACAATTTGGTCGAGCGGTTTATGAAGTTGAAACCACCTAAATTCTCTGGGAGAGGTGACCCTGAGGCCGCACCTCGATGGATAGAGGAACTTGAGAAAGCTTTTGAGGTGTTGGGGTGTAGAGGTGGCCACGGGCCGGTTTTGGCCCGGAACCGGATCGGAACCGGCCCGTTGACCGAGCCCGCGGTTCGGAACCGGAACCGGCCCGTGGCATACGGTCCCAGTTCCGGTTCCAGGAAAATTTGAACCGGCCCGGAACCACCTGGGCGTCGGTTCTGCAAAAAAAAAAAAAAAAAAAAGAAGCTGCAGGTGCGAGCTACAAAGACACTGCGGTGCAGAGCCATGTTTGCAAGCTGGCAGCACTCGCAGCCCGCAGAGAGAACGGCCAACGGCCCAACCAAAAAAAAATATAGATTTATTTGCAGCAGGGCCTGCAGACGTGCAGGCCCTGCTGCGGCGCAGCACCTTGCGGCTGCGGCGTGCGGCCCGTTGGGGCAACGGTCGGCTACGCCCCAACGGGCATTTTTTATAATTAAAAAAAAAAAAACACACATAACCGTTGCAATTTTGCAACGGTTATGTTTTATTTTTTTTAATTCTAAATTTTCTTCTATTTTTTTCCTATAAATTCTCTCAAATTCTCACAATACACACACAATTCTCTCAAATTCTCTCAAATTCTCTTCTCTCAAGTCTCAAATTTTCTCAATACTCGAAATTCTCTCAAATTCTCTGAAATTCTCTCAATTTTCTCAATCCACGCAATTCTTTCTTAATTCTCCCAATTAATCCGCTCAATTCTCTCAATCCATTCGAAAAATGGCAAGTGGAAGTCGAGTGCCAACTGGCAAAGGTAAGAATATCGCGACGGAATCCCATCATTCTTTTGATCCTCGTGAATATACAGATTTTCAAGATGATGAAATCAACATTTTTCACGATGTGGAGCGCGTCCCGACGCAAGAAAGTTTTCATCCTCCTGCTGAAATATCTACAACAAAGGAAGCGGAACGGGAATTTACATCCGACATTTGGAATCACTTCACGAAAATGGAAAGGTTTGATATCGGTCAAAAAAGGTATGATATAATTTGTAAATATTGTGGAAAAATATATAAATATACAGGTGGACAAGGATATGGAACATTTAAACGACATCTTATGAGCAAACATCCAACTGAAACGGGAATCGATATCGGGCAACAACAAATTTCCGGGTACGTCAATCCTAACACTTCCCCTTTATTTCGTTTTAATGAAAAAACTTATAAGGAAGAATTAGGCAAATTTATTTCCGTTGAGCATTTAGCATTTAATTTTGGAGAAAGATTTGGTTTTAATGAATTTGTACAAAAAGCATGTGCTCCACAAGCAAAACGTGTTTCTAGAAATACAACTAAACGAGTAATTAAAGATCTTTACAAAAATGGAAAAAATGATTTACAAAACTTTTTTATGCAATTTAATGGATGCGTGCATATAGGTAGTGATATTTGGAGTGATCATTGGCAAAATCATTCTTACATGGGCATAACATGTCATTGGATAGATGACGAGTTGACTATTCAAAAAAGAGTTATTGCATTTAGAGTTTTCGATGATCATCATACGGCAAATAATATTTATAGACTAATTAGGCAAGTTTTAGAAGAATATTATTTGCTTAACAAAATTTTTTCAATTGGTTTTGATAATGCCGCAGCAAATACCGCTTCAATTGCCGAGTTAGAAAATATTTGTAAACCCGCTTTTGGCGGAAAATTTTTTCACATTAGATGTGCTTGTCATGTTTTAAATTTATGTGTACAAGATGGTTTGAAAACTCTTGATATTTTTCTTCAACCAATAAAAACGGCGATTCAATTTTTATGGAAACACCCCAAAAAAATGAAAGAATGGGGTAGATTTTGTAGAGATAATGGCAAAAAGCCAAAAAGATTTCCAAAAGATGTTCCAACTCGTTGGAATTCTACCATCCACTTACTTAGTGAATCTTTAGCATATAAAGATTTATTATGTGCATTCATTTCTAATAATATACTTGAGATTAATTTATACCCACAAGAGTGGCATATTTGCCAAAAAATTTTAGATCTTTTAAAGGTTTTTAATGATGCAACTTATACTTTGTCTGGTGTTTATTATCCTACTACATATTTATTTTTAGTAGAGTGTACTAATATTGTCGGAACTTTTGATGAATATGAAAATGATGTTGAATTACAACATACTGTAGTTGCAATGAAAATGAAATGGCTTCATTATTATAGTGAAATTCCCATGATTTATTTAGTTGCTTGTGTTTTTGATCCGTGTTGCAAATTGGATGGCTTAAATGATTTTTTGCGTGCGTATTATCAATGTTTACATTATGATGTGACAAATGTTACAACCATAGTACGTGAGGTTAAAAACGTAGTAATAGAATTATATAATGAATTTTATACTAAATATAATTTAGGTGATATTAGATCTTCTCAATCTACGGAGATACAAAATGACAATACAGGTAAAATTAGTAGAGGGTACCAACTTTTATTACATAGACAAAAAAAACAAAAGAGAGTAATAGGAAATATTTCTGAATTAGAGAGTTATCTAACCATTTTATTTGAGTTTACTGAAGCCGAAGGTGGTACAGATTTTTTTATTTTGGATTGGTGGAAGAGGCACGCAAGCCAATACCCAATCCTTTCTCTTATTGCAAAACAGATTTTTTCAACCCCTTGTTCTACAGTTGTGGTCGAACAAGCATTCAGTGCCGGAGGTAATATTTTGAACGAACATCGTTCAAGATTATATCCGGAATCGGTGGAGATGCAAGCTTGTGTTGCGATTGGACGAAGGCTCAATACCGGCAACAAGAGATAGATCGGAATAATGAATCCGAATTCTTTAACGACGGAGATACTACCGCTACCACTATCAGATCTTGGAACGGGTAGTGACGATTGAGGGTAAAAGAACTATTGGAGTTGGCAAATATTTCGGGAACTCTTGTTTCTCATACCGGGTACGCCCACGTGAGCTTAGGGAAACCGAAATATAATCCGACGATATGTGACCTCTGGTCTCCTGCGCACGGAATGCTTAGGTTTTGGGATAATTTTAGGGTATATATATTGTACTCCTTTTTTTTTAAGATCATTGTAACGAATTGTAATGTGCTTAATGATAATTTATTAAGTTGAAGGCTTGAAGCCCTCTCTTTCTCTCTTGTCTTTTTGTCCCCAAATTCGAGTACAATTTACATTTTAATCACAATTTATATTGAATAATGTTCTATCACAAGAATAGTATTTTTTTTAATTTTTTTATTTTCATTTCTGTTTTTCCTTTTCTGTTTTTCTTCTTTTTCTTTTCCTTTTCCTTTTCTGTTTTTCCTTTTTCTCTTTTGTCTTTTTTCCTTGTTTCTGTTTTTTAAAATTATAATTTATATTTTAATTTTTTTCTTCCTCCGCTGCCGCCGGCCGGCCATGGCCGGGCCGGCGCGGAGGTCGCCGGCCGGGCGAGGCCCTCACTGGGCCGGGCGAGGCCGGCCTCGCTCGCAACCGGGCGAGGCTCGACTCGCCGGGCGTCGGGCGAGGCCGGCCTCGCCTCTCGGGCCGGGCGAGGCTCGACCTCGCCGGCGTCGGCGAGGCCGGCCTCGCCTCGGGCCGGGCGAGGCCGGCCTCGCCGACGCCGGCGAGGCGAGGCTCGGCCTCGCCTCGCAACCGGCGAGGCTCGACCTCGCCGGCGTCGGGCGAGGCCGGCCCTCCGGCGAGGCTCGACCTCGCGCGCGCCGGCGAGGCCGGCCGGCCTCGCCCGGCCCAGGCGAGGCCGGCCTCGCCCGACGCCGGCGAGGGCCGCCTCGCCTAGAGGGCCAGCAACCTCCCACTGGCCCGGCTATGGCCGGCCGCGGAGGAAAAAAAAAAAGAAAAGGAAAAGGAAAAGAAAAAAAACAGAAAAAAATAGGAACTGCCCGGAACCGGTTCCGAACCGGAATCGGCCCGGAACCGTACGGTTCCGGTTCACACTTGGCCACGAACCGAAACTGCCGGTTCCGAACCGGAACCGGTCGGTTCCGAACCGTGGCCACCTCTATTGGGGTGCACTGAGAACGAGAAAGTAACCTTGGCAGTATACCAATTGCAGGACAACGCGAATGATTGGTGGAAGGCCACCAGGGATAGGGTGTTTCCAGAAGGTACAGCTTGGACTTGGGCTGCTTTTACCGAAAGTTTTTATGAAAAGTACTTCTCGGCAAGCGCTAGGGAAAGAAAACTAGCAGAGTTTATGAGACTCCGCCAAGGTCAAATGACGGTAGATCAATATGAGGCGGAATTTGCTAGATTGTCTAAGTTTGTGCCAAGAATGGTAGAGCATCCCGATGACAAGGCGCGAAGATTTCGGGATGGATTGAAAGCTGACTCGCAGCCAGTTGTTAATGGTGAATTTGAGGACTTATGAGGAAATATTTGATAGGG